TAAAGGGTAATAAAATAATTGCTGCTGTAATATTTTCCTACAATTATTACAAAAACACAAAATAAGTAAAAATAAGTTTTTATATTTGTGCACAAGCTGTTTAGATTGTCAAAAGCCTGTGTTTTTAGGGTTATTAATGAAGTTCCTGTACTCAGACCAGTAATATTTGGGGTCACAAGTTTTTGCCATGGAAATTTTGTGGGTCAGAAGATAAAAAGTTTGGGAACCTCTGCTGTACGTATATGACTCACTCAGTCATAAAATATGATGGGTGAGTGAGGTAAGGTGTGTGTTGTGTTTGGCGAAAATGTACACAGAAAAAGAGGGGCAAAAAATGTTTGTTTTTATCTGGCAACCCTGATGCCCTCACTGAGGCACTGATCGTGCAGCGGCTGCATGATCACAGTTACATCTGAACCTAATGAATAAACTAACGTTTCTTCAGACCTAGGATGCTTTTTGTGTTTTGCTTCTACAAGATGCAAACGGTAAGTAACACAAAAAACACTCTGCTGACTGTAATTTATTGTAATTGCTGTGAGTTTAGAAAAATAACGTTTGCTGTGTGACAGCTGTTTGCACATGCACATTTTCAAAGCTGCGGGGTGCTTCTCACCTCATGGGGGGAGGGGGTACCAAAACGCTCCACAGAGACCTGGTTTCAAAAAGTTCCGGAGTCAGAGTCTCCGCTCAGCAGTGATGTGTAAACGGGTCCCTCTTCATTACTCTCAAAACAAGACACATTTGCCAACCACCAAAAGGCAAGCAATGTTTTCGTATGTGTACATTTAGCTGTCATGTAAGCAAAATATCTCACATTAAATACATTTGATTGAAAGTTTCAGAAGGTTTTTGTTGGATGAACATCAACAACAGACAGACTTTTGGAGTAAAACCAATTGAAGAAAGCCTCCACAGCTAATCGAAACAGGAATGCCTCTAACTCAGTAATGAGATTTTGCAAAATATTATGTTGAAGGTTTCATCAAACCAGTTAGCATGGAAAGCAGTGGGTGTTGTGTGTCCCTTCAATGAATGCCAGTTCTTTAATTACATACAGAAGATGATCAATCAGCTGATTACTTGGGCTGATTTTTGCCAATTTTGAAAAACAGTCAGCGTTAGCCACATCTGTGCATACTAAGCTGATTATTATAAAGCAGCTACATTTGTGAGCAGAACGTCTTTACACCTGACATGCTGTTGTATCTGTGTACTTTAACCCATAGGGGACAGCCTGTAATGTTAGGGGTGTTTTGTTGTTTGGTTTCATCATCATCATCATCATCATCAACAACAGCTTCAGGACAGATTAAGTGATTACATTAGACTGTCAAACGCATGAACAAATGCAGGACTGGTCCACATTTCCACATTTTATGTAGGTTTTATTGTTCTTGCATGGTTTAAATTGTTATAGACCAAAAATACAAAACACACCATTAAGTTGTCTTTATACTATATGTAAGCTATCAGCTGCTCTGATTTTCAGTACGAGCATGAGTCACTGAAAACCCCTTATCAAATAGCTGTTTTCATATACAGTATTACTAAAGCAAAGCCTTTTAGGTGATCCAAGTACAATATGCGGTATAGTTTCTAATCTAAATTTCAGTCCATTACTAATACAGCTCTGGGCCAACAGTGGTGACCAGAGGTAGGGTTTTGTCCTGTGGATTGACAGTTCGAACTCCCACTCCATTCATCTCAGTTGTTGTGTCCTTGGGCAAGACACCCAACTTGCCTGATGGTGGTGGGCCTGATGTCGCAAATGTATGGCAGCTAGGGGTGTAAGAAAATATCGATACACTGAAATTTCGCGATATTTCATTTCGCGATACTGTATCGATATTCTAAAGCCCTGTAT